GTTTATTTTCCTTTTAAATGGTATAGTTTTAATTTCATTAGTATGTACTAAGTAAGCATGTTTATTTCATTGTTAGTTCTATATTTTTTTTCTTTTTAGTCATATTATTATAATAAAGTTGGCTAGTTCCAGGGTTTTCTGATTTGTATCAAAAGGACTGAAATGTCTTTAGATAAAAGTCCTGTAAATAAAAAAAGGAAAGAAAAATGTTTTCCTCCAATCTGTGTATCAGTTTAACTGTTTTTATTTTCATTTGTAGGTTGGATGAATCCAATCTCAAGGAGAATTTAAGTTCGGTTCCGAAGTCAAGCAAAGAATTATTGCCCGACCCGGGAATCGAACCCGAGACCCCTTGCCCGGCAGTCGCACTTGCGACCACTCGGCCAACGAGGCAGTCTGCTGATATATATACATAGATACATAGCTTTAAGGTTATTTCATTAAATAAAAACACTTCAGTGTGTTTTTCTATTTAATGAAATAACCTATGTATTATTATGCTACCTATGTATTATTAAGCTATGTATTATTTTGGTTTTTTAATTCAGAACAAATTTAAACTAATTCCTAAGAAGCCATGTATAAAATATGATAAGAATCCGCTTTACCATTTCAAAGATCTAGCAAAACCAAAAACTTTACCCCAGCAGAATCTCAAATAACTTCGCAACCGATGAAAGAACAAATACAAAATAAGGCACAACATTTATTTCATCTAGACAACTAATTTAATAGCTAGTAATTATTTCCCATTAGAAAGAAAAAGGTCTGGCTGGGGTAACGTTACCCCAGCGGGAATGTTTTTGTGAAATAATTAAAAAACTATAAGCGCAACAAATGTAAAAATGTGCGCAACAATTACAGAAGCCGCAAAACTAATTATCTATAAGATTCAAATGACCATTTTTGACAACATCTGGTTTGGGTAACGCAACGTTGAAGGGTACATAAGGGTACAAGACCAGGTGCTCCATGACACCATTGTACCAATCTGTCGCCAGAACCGCTACCCATTGAAGATGGAAAATGGCCACTTGGAAAACGTAGTGTTACCCTTTAATGACCAAGTCACACAACATTAACTATAATAATAACGAAAACGCAAAAAGAAACCTTGGCATCGAAATCAATCGAAAGACTTGGCACGACTTTATTATATTACATTACTTTTTAAAGATAACCTAGCAGCTCAATCGAGACTTGGCTAGTTTTTTACAGAATGTTTTTGGTGGGATTTCACTTCTTTTTGTAGAATGCGGGTATTACCTTCACTCTTAGTCCAATGCATTATTATATTTTGACCAAATTTTTTGTGAAATTAATATTTTAGTGTAATTTTTTTATTTAATCTAATCAGGATCACGTGTTACTCCAGATCTTCGATTATCCTAGTTTTTATAGTTTTCCCTTTATGTGGCTATAAAACCCTTACTCAGTACCAAATTTCAGGTCGCTGAGGTAATGGGAAGTACTAATCAACTTTGATGATCGTGAGTGAGCGAGTAAATGCGAAACTTTGCTTTCGCCTGCGAAATTTTGGATTTTAATTATGTGATTATAGCTTACTAGATGACGAAAACGTTTGTGTTCTGATCTTATCCAGAGGTTCTCAAATAGGGGCCTGAAAATGCGGCGAAATGGTTTCAGTAAAGGATGGTACGGCAGTGTTTGCTTCGCGCTTGACTTGGCGGGGGCACTGCTGTGCCCCCAGATTTGTGGGTTTGCAATACATTATTGGGTTTTTACCCAACTTGGTTAAGCTAACATAAATAAGTTATCATCAATGTGCATAGTTAATCAGTCATCTCTCTACTAAAAGGTGATAGGTTACATCAGTACTGAGTCACATCACTATTGCAAGTCTGAACAGGTTTCATACATGTTGCTGCATGTATGTTGGTAATATATGTAGGTTTGTGGAAATACCATGTATGTAGCAATGCTTGAACGCATTTAAATAACTATGACATCATACAATTATTTGAGTTTACTTAAGTTGCCTGGCAAGACAATAAAATCTTTAACAATTTTAGTAGCATTAAACATATGGTAAAACTTTTAAATATATTTAGGTATTTTATACTTAGATGTATATTAATAATATAACAAACCTCTTCTTTTCCAGGAAGTATTTCTTGTGAGTTTTCTTCAAGTAATTCATCTATATCTGGTTTTTTTAACTCACTCAAAGCACTTCTGTATTTATGGAACAGTGTATTTTGCTTTTCAATTTTCTTTGCTTTTGCTTTTTCTTCTTTCAATTCTGCTTCACTCTTTGGTTCCTCTTTTAATTTCTTGACCGGAACTTCATCACTTTTGAATGGTCTGCAAACAATCCATTTACTAATAACTGGTCATTTTAACAAAAATAACATCAAAATTGTTATATTAACTGAAAACATACTTTATTTCCTCTTTTACCATGGCCTGGTCCTCCTTTGAAAGGTCTTTAAAACCAGGCAGGCTCTCTCCTCCTGCAAAGTAGAGAAGTGCACCCCTCTCTTCTGCGAAACATTTTACATGGTGCCACAATGGCTGTCCACCATACTTGGCACCCACTTCAGTATCATATACTGTCTTAGCAATACGAACTTCATCCTGAAAGGAGTTCAGTAAATAATATTAATAAGAAGAAAACAAGGCAGAGAATTGTTAAATATTTTCTAAATAGATTTGTATTGTACACAGCATTATCATCAACAGCAGCCCTTGAGAATGTACTGCTGGACTATGAAACTTATAAAAATGAGGGTTTAACAAAACCCCAACACATGGTACTTGGCAGGTAAGTTGGAGCAAGCACTTAAAAAAGTAAGTTAATCAGTGTGCTGCTGTTAAATCTCTTGGAAATGAATACTTCATTATTTGGATCTTAATACAACAAAAGGGACAGTGACAAATGTGTTCTTATCAACCATCACCATAAATATGTTTTTCACAAAAATACATCAATGAAGTCAAAGTCAAAATCATTTATTTCAATTAGACAAGGAAGGCACTTTTGAACATAAACAACAAAAATTTAGAAGTGAATTCAATAGACAAGATTTTACTTACCTTACATATTTTAATTTCACAGTGTTTGCAAGTAGCCCTGCTACTTTTAGAATACTCTACTTTAAAATCTTTAAGAGCTAAATTGGTAGAGTCATCTGCTGTTCTCTTTTTGGATTTGCCTTTCCCTTTAGGAGCTTCAGTGGGCATCACTATACCAGTAGAATTTTCTGTAACAAAATTTTATTAAAACAAATTGCACTAAATTATGCTATACATCTAACCAAGGAAATCTATACTCATATTATTGAGAGAAATGAAACCTAATCATGCAGTATGTATTGAATCTACTGCAAATGATTATAACAGAGTCAGTTATTGTACATACCCATAACAGATTTAATTCTCTTCTGGTCATTGCTCTTGAGTTTATTGAAGTTGCCAATATCAGCCACAGATGTAGGACGCTGTTTCTTGAAGAAACACTCTTCATGATGCCAGTTAGGTTGCTTGCCATCGAAAAATGCTGACTGTGAAAATTATATAAATTATTATTTTTAATTTTTTTTGCATAAACCTGTACAATTATAGGGGTCTTCTTTTAAGTCGAAGATGTACCTTTAGAAGCTATTTTTGTGGTGGCACACAAAATATAGCTCTTAAAGGTACAATCTTTGGTTAGAAGTCCTTAAGTTATGAACTAGACCCCTTATTAAATGTTAATTGATAGCTCTAGGATTTACTATCCATTACTAAGGTATTATAATTTTTAATAATATATTGTTATGTGGAATGAGTCATTCTCATAAATATATTTTTGTTGTTTTATTCTCACATCCCATTAATGTAACTTATTTCCATTGTGATGTGATGTTAGTCAGAGATGGCCATATTGAATTAAACAATCTGGCTATTTTCAGTATTGTTAAGGACCAATACATTGGCACACTAAAGTTATTATATATATTTCCATTCATCATTTTCATGCAGTTTGTATTTTTGTTTTGGATTTAGAATTTTGTAGGAAAAGGTATACTAAGTTGTAGGAGAAACGTTATGCATGTATTCTGATGATATAGATAGGACATATACTTATGGTATAGACAAGACACTATGTATAACTCAGTAGGTATGGCTATTACACTTGAAGGCATTGTTTGAAACCTCATGCAATTATATGATTTCATAAAGGTTAAGCCATCGGAACGCTTTTTCTAATTGTTCTTTGAAATATTTTTCTGTAGAGATTACCTCAATGAGAGTATACATTTATTGTACATTTTCAAAACTTACCTGAACCATAATCGCAATACGCACGGCGCCTTGATCAATCTTTTCTTTACATCCTTTACACGCTGCGCGTCCGGTTTTTGCATATTCTGCTTGGTACGGTAAGTCAGTCATTGTTAGGCAGGCTCTGATTTGTAATTTGCTTATACTAAACAAAACAAATATCAACTTTCAAAGTTTGTTTTACTCTTTTCCACCAGGAAAAATTTTAACGGCCGACAAGTACAAACCGGCTCACTACCAAAATGACATTTGTTTGGCAAATCGGTGAGTGACAAGAACCACAGAGCATGTAATTATAACAAGAACTGCCACAAGTACCACAACTGCAAAAGATTGACAACAAACAAAAACAAAGTGTATTATTTTTATTTACTGGAGCGGTGCTTTAATTAAGTTTGAATTATTGTCTATAAAACTAGCGCTGGCAAAGTGCTAGTTTTAATAATTATCGGTAGTAATCATTTAACGATTATTATTTTTCCAACAAAAGGAAAAATCTATGCATTCATCATAGATTCCAGTGACCAGAGACGTTTTTGGCAACTGTAACTGTCAGACTGTCACTCCCTATGTCATTAATTTTATTTTATTGTGAAAGGTATTATTTGTTTCGTCTTGTGAGTTAATTTTGTGAGAAAAGGAAATATTTATAGTTTACGGTACTCCTAGCAGCTTAATGTTTGCTGATGTTATTGTAATAAATAATACTTAAAATGGGTAGCAGAAAAGAAAACCTCAAGAAAACCCTGGGAATATCGGAATATCCGTGGAGTTCAGGTACTGTACTATAATTAAATACTAAGCATTAATATACAAATCTGGAGACTTTAATTTATTTAATAGCTACTCTAACAAGCATATATTATTTATACACCTTTAATTTCTTGTTATTATAACGCTTCAATCGTATAATAACTGTTTAAAAATAATGACCATGACAATGTTATTGTAAAACTGCGTTCTGGTACCTACACACATCTCAAACAAAACATTGATAAGGGGCGTATGTGGCTGTTTTATTTCTTTTTGTTAATAATGAAATGGTGATTAGAATAAAAAATCAATCACTAATAATACCATGTTCCTAATGAATCTTTATTGTTTATAATGTACATGTACCACATTGCTATTGCGAAAAATACTATACCAACATACCTTTGCTCTGAGGTTTAGCATGATATTTAAGTTTAAATTCAACATTAAAATAGTACACAGTAACTTAAATATGGATTATTTTTCAGATGATGAAGATACTCCATCACAACCTCTACAGGTGTTGAGGAGACAAGCAGATGAACCTCGGCCCAGTGTGGCCGATATGCCTGGAACTAGCAGCGGAAATGGTAAATATCTTTTATACCTATTTTTTATCCTGTATTATTATTGATTACAGGAAATTGTCATGATCCTTTCTGTTTAACTTTATTTATTTTTCAACTTTATTGTTTTGTATATAAGTAAAAAGTGGACCTGCTGACCACTATACCTTGTTTAGTGTTGAGTGAATTTAAATCTATCTTTGTATGTGAAAAATAGATAATTATATAAAATTAGTTTGTTTGTTGTTAATTTCATCTCAATGCACCTTTCAGGTGAACTATATTAATTGTATATGCAGTACTTGTTAGCATCAAAATACATGCTATTATTTAGGTATTTGTAACTTATAAGTGGAACTTGTGTGAACAAGAATTAACATGGAAGTAGGTACTTATAATAACAAGTTTTGACTTGTACATGAAAAGATAACACTCATTTCAGCAATAAAAAATATGTTTATTTTTAGACCATTGTTTAGCGATATTATTAGCCAGCAATAATAGATTGAAAATTGATGAATTGTATTCATCAGTTATTTCGTTGATCATCTGTAGATGATGCGTGGTGGACAGACCCGACTGGGAGTCAGCCCCATCAAACATCTGGTGGGTACTTAGTTGTTCATTACTTCAATTACTACTATACTATGTATTTATATTCATGTACCACTTTGTATGTAGTTTGAGAGACAGGGATATATTTGTGGCATTTGTGTATATTTTTATATTAGATGAATATTGTACATAATTATTATTTAACTTCTCTTTCCTTTTTTACTAGTTTCACAACAAGCGACGCATTCACCCGCAACAGCGCGGAAACAACAAGCTAAACTAGACCATGCTCTGTTCTGGTCCATCATCAATAACACCCCAAGACCCTCAAATGTTGGATCCAGCCGGTAAAATTCTACATTAATGTATTGTATGCCTAATTGTTAAGTAATCATTTGGTTTTTTTTAAATAAAATTGTGGTTTTGAATATAAAACTATGTATCTTATAATGCGACTAATTTAATTTGTTTTTATTTTGTTGATATAGTCCTAGGTTAGCGAGTGACATGCCTGTGACATACGTGTCCCGACCGTCAGTCCCCTCCCGCTCCGACTTGCGGGAATCGCGGCGAGCCGAGCGTACGACGTCTACCTCAGACATACAGCGCATACTGGCTTTCAAGAGACTCACCCGTAGCCTGCAGGACTACACGCACTACAAAACTGGCACAAGTTCAACCTTACGGCGTCAGTACCTATTTTATAATTTTAACATTATTATTTGTTTACTTGATGTATACATTTTTTTTTAAACAACTTAATGCATACTTTTTCCGATTTAATTTTAACGTGTACATTCACGCCATTCAAATTTTCAGGTCTATAATATTAGATTTACTTGAGCATACGATGTGGTATTATTAGTAACAATATTTGTCTTCCTTATAATTTCTCGAATTTCGTTAAGAAGCTTTTTATGAGGGTAATTATAGACAAATATAATATAGTAATTATATACTATTTGTCTAGAAGAATGCTAAGCATATTTCATAATGCTATTATGTATGTTACAATAGAAATGGCCAGCGGGGGTCCGTCGCGCAGCCCGTTGTTCACTCCGTCAATGTCGGCAGAGACGTCCAGGTCCAGAACTCACAAGTGCTGTATTCGCCCGCAAGTTGGACGCATATACAGGACAGGTTTCTGGAATAATTTGAATTTTAAATCATCATCATCTTTCACAGCTTGTGAGAGTTCAATGATGGGTAGTGGAGGTCCTCTACAAAAGATGGGTTTGCCATAATCTCCATTGGATTGATTGGTGAATGTTTGTCAGAGAATGCTGATGCCAGGTCTCTCTTAAATGTGTACTTCATTAATCTACTTACAACACCAGAAGAAAGATTAAAGATAATGACAAATGTATTCTAATCTTATTTCATAGAGATTTCTACACTCTTCAGAGACAGTAGCGGCACCCTCTACTTAATTCTTTGAACTGAATCTCCAATCTGCCTGCCAGACGTAGAGATTATAGTCTGAACTGGATTACAGTGAACTGTAATCCAGTCTTACTACCTGTTAATAACATAACTTCACGCCTTTTATCCTCGATGGGGTAGGCAGAGGTGCACATTACGGCACTTAATGCCACTGTACAATGTAACACCCACTTTTCACTATTTATGTTATGAGTGCCATGTAATAGGGGGTGAGCCTATTGTCATATACTGGGCACAATTCCAGGCTCCGTGCTATTACTGAGATTTGATCACTCGGCCAATGAGGCGGTCAGATGCCTGATCATGAAATGTAAATTTTTATTTTTCTTATGTACAGTAAGCAGTTCTTCTGAAGCCGTCGGCGCGGGTGATCCTCAGCCATCTCAGAGCCGTTACCGCTCGCTCCCAACTCGCTCCAGCGTCCCGTCAGACATAGACACCAATCTGGCCGTGCCTGAACAAGACCACTTTGTCAATGTTGATCAATCTGATGAAGGTATGTATAAAACTTTATCTTATGTTATTTTTTAACTGTATTTAAGTTACCATTTGTACTTTAGTTTTGTCAGGTAGTTAATGATCTTAATTAATGTTTTTTTATTTATGATGTAGATGTAGAAGCTGTCCAAGAGCCACCTGCAGTTCCTGAACAACCTGATGAGAATAATGCTGATGAAGAAAATGTCCAAGGTAAAAATCTTACAGTAAATTATACTTACACTAGCTAGAGTAAGGTAAGGTTAACTCGTCGAGTACCGTATTAAGGTCCCTTTTCACCAACGAAACTGATCACGATTACACCTAACAAAACTGATTTAAAGCGTCTAATGGAATTTAAAGCGTTTAAACGAAGTTACAGCTTCATTTTACATTTCACCGCTACAAACAGAAACTAGTTTACACGGAACTCAGTACAGAAAACACAGAACACAGAACTTAGGTTACTTTAAACTTAGGTTACGTGTAACTGAGTTTTTACAGAGCTTGGTGAAAAGGGACCTTATAGACACAATTAAAGAACAATAGGTTGCGGTCACCGGTGACCGCTTGGTGTTTGACAGTTTAATAAGGTATATTTTGATATTTTTGTTTTAATAAAATTTCATATACTTATAATATATAACACATGTACATGTATTTCTTTTTATATTTGATGGGCCGACGTTTGGCTACTATCTCGCCTGTTTGGATATGTGCATGTATTATTTTTATAAATATTCAGTTTCTAGATGTAAGCTGAGATGTATCTCTCTAAGCTAAGATATATCTCTCTTCACTAGTTTCTTGCAGCTTTCCACATACGATATACAACTTTGTTATTGCCAATAGATGATTATATTAAAATTATATCAAGCTAAGCGCATAAGTATGAAAAGTGTTTTAAATAAAATAAATTTTAAGCTTATTGAACTTTGCTATTCATAAACTAACAAACGTATTCTGTGGAGATATTGTCTAAGTAAGTAAGTACTTATAAATTATTATCATATCATATGTATCTCAGCCCCAGCGCACGACACTGGCGGCGCCATATCGTTGGAGGAAGAGATCGTGGAGGTGGACGCCCCGGACGAGCCTGAGGCGGTGGCACCCATGGACACCGAACCTGACGCCGCCGACACACATGCCAATGACGACAACAACGCAGTAAGTCTACTCACATGCTCACACCACTACACCATCTTTAGATTTGAAGCCAAGAAACTCCTAACACTTTGGTATCACGGGCCTGATAAAGCACCAAATTAGCAAATTAATTAAAAATACCGTCTACTCACATAATAATTTGTGTAAGTAGGTCGAGGACAAGTCTACTAGTTTCAAATCACGCAGTCATCAAGACTTAGATAGTTATTTTATAAGTTTTCAAAATATAAAAGAGATAACTTTAATCGCGTGTCGATTGCACATAATGCACCTGGCCTGGAGGACGTATCTTTTCTCTTTGAAATTCCAGTATAATATAAGTAGTAACAAGTGCATATGTTTGCTTCTCAGGTGGCCACAAACTCTGATGAGAACGCTGAGACTGCACAATCCCAGTCTCCATTCCAAGGTGTCAAGAGGAAGCGGGATGGTAAGTTAGAATTGAAATATACATAAGATGAATTTACGAATATTTCTTGCTAGCAAGTTCTATTATATCAATTTTTTCAGAATGACTGACTATTTGGTATTTCATTGGTATATTTGCTTCATATTCCGCTTATAGTGAAATATTTCTATAAACTATATATTTTTTTTATTTTTCAGCGAGTGATGAAAATGGAGAGCCCTTCTCCGTACAGGAGTTTAATCAAGTGAGTGTGTCTTGTTTATGAGTTTGTGGCGGAAATGTTTGCTATATCATTATATTTATTTTGAACAACTTGTAAAGAATGAATTTTAATCTTACAATGATTTTGTATTTATTTATTGTATCAGATATTGCATGACTATTTCGATACCATTTTACTTTTATGGTAAAGGTATTTGTTATTTCACTGCCTCGTTGGCTGAGTGGTTGCAAGTGTGACTGCCGGCCAAAGGGTCTCGGATTCGATTCGATGCCGGGTCGGGCAAAGTTCTTCAAGGGTTTTTTTTGTGAAAAATAGGTGTTATATTGTACAGATGTTATATGTATTTGTTTTTATAACTTACGTGAGACGTATACTATATTAACTAAAAATCGCGAGTTACTCATTTGAATATACTGAGAAAAGCAGGTTACTGTAGTAGTTAGTAGGCTGCACGAAATCGCCGCGACCGCGCATGCTGCTCATGAGGGAGGAACCCCTCTGTGGTTCGAAAATAGAGCTTTAGGCAGTATATTGATATTTGTTATCTTGGACCCTGTCAGAGCCTGCTGCGTCTGCTGGAGTGCCCGGTGTGCCTGGAGTGGATGGAGCCGCCCATGTCGCAGTGCCGGCGCGGGCACCTGGTGTGCGGGCGCTGCCGCGCGCGCCTGGCGTCGTGCCCGGTGTGCCGCACGGCCTTCTCGTCCGTGCGCAACCGCGCCATGGAGGGCGTGGCCGACATGCTGCGCTACCCGTGCCGCCACGGCTGCGGCCGCGAGGTGCGGCTGCGGCGCCGCGCCCCGCACGAGGCGTCCTGCACAGCGCGCCGCTACCACTGCCCCGCGCCGCCCTGCGCAAGACACCCGCCGCTGCCGCACCACGACCTCGCGCACCACTTCCAGGTACCCACTATTTCTAAATAATTACCTATGTCACTTTTACAAAAGAGCTCTTTAGCTTCCATCGCATTTTTTATGTATCTAGTCATTAATGGCTATACATTGATCTAAAATGATCTCTTTTACCTGTATAGAAATTAAAACTTACATAAAATGATCTAAATATTTTTTTAAAATATAGGACGATGTATATTGTAAAGCTATTAATAACCTTTAAATCAAAAATTATTTTCAGTGTAAGCACTTACCCATCCTGAAGATTGGAGCGAAGCACAAGTTCTCAATGAAGGTAAACTCAGAGCAACATGATACATGGTTGATCATGGCACTGGATGAGTACTTCCACCTGCGCGTCGACGTCGACATCCGTACGTGGGGAGTCATCGTGTACGTCTCCTACATCGGGCCCAAGCGCAAGGCTAAACATTACATTTATGAGGTACATTTATTTACATTACCGATTACAGATATAAACTACGTTAATAAAAATAATTCTCACTTCTGAGGGCCAAGCACGAATAACTATCGCATTCGTATAGTAACAGTATCGAGCGCGTTAAGCGCTCTGATTGGTTGGTTCACTTGAGCCATAGTTATTCGTGCTTGGCACTCTGACGAGTTACCTTAGAGATGTATCTTAACTATCAATCATTCATTTGTCTATAGGTGTCCGTGGTGGGGCAGCACAACTCTAGAAGCGTGACGTACAAACGAGCCACACACAGTGACCTCGAGAGCTCGTCTCTGAACGTGAGCCGTCAGGACTGCTTCCACTTGACACTCGACCAGGCGCTCAACTTCCTTCGCTTCAAGAACAGGCATTGCGAGCCTGACAAGTTCTTAGATTTCGATGTCGAAATCAGAACAGCTCCAGATTTCAACTCTCAGGAATTAAGAGAAGATTCTGATTCATAAATCATGGGGATGAAGGGATATCTAATCGTGCTACGATAGGTGCAAAGAGGCTACCCCAATGAGACAAGCTAACTGTTGGAACGTGTATTGCGCAGTTTATAAAATGCGTACTACTTTACCGCACCACGTAATAACGCTGCGCTAAAATATGCTCCTAAACTAGCTACGGTTATATTGTAAGATTATTATGTGTTTAATCTGTGATTTATTGTTATGCAATTTAAAATGTGACCTTTAAATATCTCGCATTTTAAAATGTAATAACCTTTATTTAAGTTTTATTCAAAGGATATCGATTACTTTTAAATCAGATAGTGTTTATAGTTTGTCGTAATTTAGTAATGTTATATCTTTGACATCTACATCTCATATCCCATAGGTCCGGTAGTTAAGCATTCACATTTACAGAAATAAACAATTTTCAATATTGTGTGGTAGTACAATCACGTTTATGGAATGGTAGTAGTTATATTCTGTAGTTTCAGCCAATCTCAATTTTAAAGTTCTGATGTTTCAAGGATTAAGATGTAAGTTTTGAATGTATGTTATAGTTACAGTAGACTATATTGCATATTTCGAGAATAATTCTACTTTTGTTGTCTATATTGGGATTTACTCTTGTGTCGCACGAAAAATTGGTTAAGCTTTGACCGCTACGGTCAGGTATAAGAGATTACTACGAACTTGCCTAGTAGAGCATCGTTAGCCCGACCGTGGCGGTCACATAGATAACCTTTTCATACTTCTATAGGTTTTCAAAAATGTAAAACTAAATAGTTACTTCCGTAGAAGTAGAAATGTCTGTTTCTATCCTTCAGCATGGTAAAACGTCCTTACCATAATCTGATAACGCTATTGTTCTTTATAAAGCTTATCCTGAGTAAATCCCTAAATCAAGGAAAATTGATGGTGTTATTATACATTACACATAGTCTACAATATCTGATAACCGTTAGATCTAATTATTATTATTATTCATCATAGATGTAGATTGCTCAGTGTTGATATATAATATTTAATATAATGTTTGTCGTATGTTATGGGTTGCCAGTTGTAATTAGCCGGTCAGTTTCGGCATTATACACCTTGGTCCGGCTAAAACGATAATTTTGATTATAATTTCATTTTAAAATTATCGTTTTCAATCAAAAATCGAGAATGAAAATCATGTGATCATTTTCCATGACTTTGTTGTACATAGTCTTGACTTGTCAGTCAGTTAAAATGATGTGTCCGCTTTTCTTTAGGTATATTATCTGGTAACAATGGTCCTTTATACACAGTGCGGTTGTCGGGTAATCAGCGGAGAATTGTACCTTGGTATGACGTCATGTACGGTCACAGTCAAACTGCAATGATCATTATTGCCTGCGATATACGGGCTGCGGCGTCACACACACCATTAGCATATCTTATACAAGGTCATAAGTACAATTTATATCCCAAGTTTTGTGGTATTACTAGTCGACTTCTGACCGTACGTTCGCCTTTACACGTACTGACAAGATCTGATGTACTGGCCTGCAGTTCAACTTCTCTGTTAAATGCCTAATCAATTCAACTTTATTGATTTCATATATAGTCGAAAATCCAATGTAAATGCTAAAAGAATATAGTAAGTTATCGGGCTGACTAATCTGACCATTGTACGTACATTTACTGAATGCTCGGCAACCAAGCGCTTGAAAAATCATTTCGGCTTCTGTGTTACATATTGATTAATTATTGTTTGGTTTTTATTATTTTTATTTATTCAAAGTGCTTTGTCTCGTTAGAGACTACATCGCGTAGGGCGGAAATATAAATCATTATTATAAAGCGTTTTTAAGTTATGTACATTAAATATTATTTTACGTTATTTATAAATTGTAGCGTAAGTGGAAATATTGTCCGAGAGCATATTACAAACTTAATTATTATTCTAAAATAAAATAAAGGAAAGATAAAAAAAATATTCTTAATACTTTTATTTCATTCTCTATTAAGTAATTCATTTAACGACTATATACAGATGATATCACGTTTTCATGTATTATTTACAATGTCAATATTGTTAATAATACGTAATTTAATTATGTACATAATCATAATATGTAAATTCAATTGCAATTACTGTTTGTTCTAATCATCAAAAGCGATAGAAAAACGTTACAAAGACATTTGAATGTAGGTATCTAATGGTCAAACAAATACTCAAACGCTCCTCAATTTTAACACATTTAAAAGTATATCTATTACTACATATACTTTAAACGACAAAAACAGCATGATATTGAAGTACAAGTAAAATTGAGTAGCATTTCAATATTCGGGCATAGGTGACATGTCAACTTTGGTGCGTTCTAATATGTATCGAAGGGAAGACCGCGGTACAACAGATGAAATGTTTACTTTAAAACTGTACCATGGAGTATAGAAGTATGGAGTACTATCTTTGTGTAAAAGGATATGTCAAAATAGGAGACGCCACAGTAGCACAAGAAAATAGATCAAAAAATGTGTGTTCTAGTGAGCCATAGAACATTTTTATTAAAATAATAGTTAGAAAAGTTACAATAGAGTTAACATGCTACAGAAGCGACACCAATTAGGGCCAGCGCTCACTGCTGGCATGGTACGCCAGATTGAAATTCGGCATGCCGCGGCGTGTCATGGCATTCCGTGGTATCCCGTGATATTTTACTGAAAGTCCATTGATTCCTTAACCAAAGTGATCTGTTCGTCTCATGAAATGCAATGGCGTGTCGCAGCATCGTGGTATCGAAATAAAGTATCATTGACCCTAAATAAGATTTAAAATAACTTAATTAGTAATAAAATTCTGAGCACCGGCCCTTTAAGTATCTAATGGAATTTGATGCGAAATTTCTCATTCAAGATGGTACTCCTTATGTCTATACCCCACGTTTTGTTAGTGTATTGTCTACGCTACTAGTTGCTTGGAGGCGATGGTCTGTCGCGCATACTCCGTGTCCACGAGGCCTCGGCATACCAACGAGAACTCTTGCACCGACTCCAATATTCTTCGTTTACTGCTCTTTTCCCTGGTGACAAAAATATTGATTTAACTCGTTGAGTACCGTCATTATAAACACAATTAAAGAACAATAGGTTGCGGTCACCGGTGACCGCTCGGTGTTTGACAGTTTAATAACAAAGTTTCGTGAAAATTATGGGTGTTGTACATAGATATATAACATAGATGTGTGACTATTGTCTACGGGTAGAATTTAAGATCCATCTCGACGGTAAATTCATAAACATACTGTTGTTTCTTTTTTACTTATGTTTCTTTGCTTATGCAGAAAGAGACAACACATTATTGTCATTCTGGCAATAATTTTTTGACGTCATCAAAAATATATAGTTCTGCCGAATTCGCCATCTTGGTCGCTGTTATCAGTGCATGTCAGTGGTACATCAGCTGTCAAAGCATTGGTCAATAATATTTTGTTACGAAAATTTTTAGAATTCCTGTTATTTTTGTGCGTGGTAAGCAAAGAAATTATTGGTTAGTGAGAAGAACTATGCCCGGGTGTAGTGTTATTGGATGTAGCACTAAAAATATTACTAAATCGGCAGGTGTAACATTACATCGGTAAGTACTGTTATTTTTCATTAAAATATCTCTGTTTTTTAAACTATTCAAGTGAGCTTGCTGCAAGTTGACTAAATACAATACTTTTCTAACTAATGCAGTGCTTATTTTCATTAATTTTAGTTGAAATACGTCTAAAAATTTTTTCATTGAAAAATAGTGATGTACATGTTTGTTCCCGTATCGATAATTTTATCGTTCATATTAATAAATGCTTCAAAAGTAGAACAAAAACTATACTAAATTCTGAATGATAAAGTGCATTAATTTGACATAATGACAAAATGCAAAAAACATTAAATATGTACTCGTCAAAAATTTCATTTTATCGACAATATTCCACCATAATCAATACCTATGTAATGTTATAAATAATACAAAACATGAATAATTTTTGTACAATATAAGATACTGAAAAATACTTGTGGGAAAAGCATTTATTTCTAAATTGTATTTTTATCAAATACCGCTCGAGAGACTCCAATGAAGCAAACAAATTAAATATAACTCCGCTATCTATCACTATCATTGCAATGTACAAACATTTTCATTCAGACCTTAGTACAGTACCTATAGAATCTATAGAGATAATCTATGTTCGATTGAATCAAGTAAGTTAAATTATACTATTTATGTTGCAGCCTCTAGCCAGATCTGTGCATGAAAATGAACTTGGAACCAGTTCTGGAGTCGTCTCGAAATCAGTCAGTCGTCAGTTGCAGATTACATTACTGGGAAACAGTACGAAAAATACAAAGATATTGTAACTATATTATAAATCTTGATTTTATGAATACTTTGAAACAGTCTTATTTTTCAACCCTCAAAAATTACTTAACCTTAAGTATGTAAATGTTGACCAGTTGATGGTAAATCCTTTTCATAAATTACGATACATATGTATCGTGAAAGGTATGATGTGAATGTATGGACACGATCGACCGGAGTAATAGTGCACGCAGTAACTACTAAATATATTTCGCTAATATTTTTAGTAATGTTTAGTAGCTAGATAAAAATCAAATCCAGATGAATCATAAAATAATGATATTTTATCGATAAATCAACAAAAACCAATACCAAAATATCGATACTTCTACAGTTTCAATAGTCACATCCCTAGTTCTATCCGCCATTGCGAATGACCAAGTGAAGTTTAGGTAGGCACGTTTTTTTCGTAGTTGCTTCACATCCATAGTCTTATCATATCAGTGGTGTTGTAACTAGTAAACAATAACGTCATAATTATAAGTTACTATAGACTTCTCGCACTGTGCGAACGGTGTAATAATATTATAAAAACGGTGTTACGTGCATGTTACTCTAGTCAAAAGGTTGTATGGGTACATACTTGATGATGGACTGTATAAACTTGTGCTTGTGTGGGTCGGTGGCGTGCTGCGTGGGGAAGTCCGGCACAGCCAATGCGCTTCGCAGCCACGTGGCTAGCCCCGCCCCCTGCCCCGCCTCCGCTCCTTGCCCCGCATCCCGCCACGCCGCGCGGTTCAAAGACAACAACAAATCCGCTAACGGCTCGATTTGATTACGAGGCGTCATTCCGCCTGGTACAGATACACAACCTGATTTTATTAATTAAATAGAATCTAGTACATATTGACACAATTGTATTATATGCAGCAATTCGTAAAGTAACAGTGTCAAGGAATGGGTATGGAGTTGAGGGGATGATGATCTCGATGAAAGGAATGACACTGTCAAAACGAAACATTTAGTCAAACACATATTATATATTTGTTTTAACTGAAAATAACAACTTTTGTTCATGAGCGGGCGTGCCGCGGCGACATCGCGCATCGCACTGCCAGTTGTAGTGATGTAAGAATCTCGGTACGACTTGCAACTAGAGCTTTTCTCAATTAGTTGACATGATCGAGTAAGCAGTTATTTTCATTTTTTTTTAAATAAGACGTTGCCCACACTAGGGTTTTCTCCTGTGTCATGGGTGCGTTTACAAATATAAAAGTTCACATACACATTACACCCAGACCCGGAACAACAATCTGTGGATCACACAAAGAATTGTTCCGGGCGGGAATCGAACCCGCAACACGTTGCGCGGCAGCCAGTTGCCCAGTCACAGCGCCAACCGTGCAATCATTTGTAGCATACTAATTAGGTTTGAAATAAAAGGTAAAACCAAAGAATAAGAAGCTGGGCATGCAGGCCGGAGTCATAATTCGCCTTACCAATGCAGAGCAGCGCGGTGGCGGTGAGCGCGGGCGCGTAGGGCTGCAGCGGGTGCGGGCGCTGTGCCGCGAGCGCGCTCAGCCAGCCGCACGCCGCGCGCGCCCCGCCCGCCTCCCACACGCGGACCGCGCGCAGCGCTGCATACCAACGCGACATTACACGACTACTCCAAATCAATACTTTTTCCAACGGTCAAAAATGACAGTTTCCTATGATTTGTTTAACGAGATTGTTATTTATGACGTCACGTTTTTTTAACATCAAAAAATACTAAAATTAAGTTTACTGACTGTAATATTGTATTGAACAGTCAAAATAATTTATTTTAAGTACCCAATTACAGGTTAAATTGAACCAATTTAATTCTTTTAAAAATATTTGACTCCGCATTTAACTCGTCGAGTACCGGTTTTATAGACACAATTAAAGAACAATAGGTCGCGGTCACCGGTGACCGCTTGGTGTTTGACAGTTTAAACCGGTATTATAATACTGCAGCAAAACAGTAGAAGCATAGTGGGAGGGATACACATATGTATCTGTTGAATGTATTTGCATCTCTCTTCGCTCGAGTGTCATACGGACCTTAAATTCGCTTATACAACAACATAAATGCAGCAACTTCCGCGCATCATAATTAAAAGCAGACAGACCAACTCATTTCATCTCCAGAGATGCTATACTTTGAATATTATCGTTAAAACTTATCGTTTCTCTGATAGTTTTTTCCCTTAACAATCAAGCCTTTTATACGCTGTGTAACTTGAAGTAAGAACGAATTAACCAACATCATTTAAATTAAGAACTTCTCTACAGACTATATGTAAGGGTACAGACAGTAAAACTAGCAACTAACCCAGCTCGATGAGATTGAGCAGCATGTCGTCGATCCAGTCGATGTAGTGCGGCTTCTTCTTGGTGATGGTCTGCAGCAGCGTGAAGAGTCCCTCGGTGAGGTCGGGGCGCGCGGCGGGCTCCTGCGTCAGCAGGCGCGCGCTGGGGGCCACGCTCGCTCGCAGCACGTTGCGACACCCCGCCCATTCCGCACCCACGCTCATCACCATCTAACATTTATGAAGGTTTTTTGGTATATTACGATGATATCCTTTTTATCCCCGAAGAGGAGGCAGAAAGGCAGAAAGTAGCTTTACGCTAGTTACATTTCTTATAATAAATATCGTGAGACGTATTAAATTAACTAAAAATCGCGGGTTTACTCACGTGAATATACTGAGTAAAGCTCTACTAGTTTCGCCTACTCTGGCTGTGCGACAACGACACGATCGTGCACGCTGCTCATAAGAAAGAACCTCTCTGTGGTTCGAAACTAGTAGAGCTTCTCTCAGAATATTAACGGGAGTAACCCGCGATTTTTAGTTAAGTTACATTTCTCATGCTTTAACCAATAACAATTTCTCAGATTCTGAAATTATTAGCAGGTATGAACTTTCGAAAATCTCCGACACCGACATCGGCCTGAAGACTCTTCAATCGGTGGTCAGACTGGCGAATTTTGACTAAAAAAGCAGTATCAAATCATAAAACCTAGGAAGAGGTATTGACGGAATAAACCTAAAAAAACACCAATGCTTACGATTCTAGGACTTGCAAATTAGGATCAACTTCGGATTGTTTTAATTATAACTTACTAGCTTTTACCCGCGGCTTCGCTCGCGTCACAAAACGATAAAAAGTAGCCTATGTGACATATACCAATACACACAGCGCCATCTATACCAATAATTTCGTTTTTCCTCGAGAACATCACATTTTTCCAGGATAAAAAGTACCCTATTATTTAATCTAAGTTTAGTAGTTACGGCGTGAAAGTGGAACAAACAAACTAACTTTTCGATTTATAATATTAGTAAGGATATAATAATATTATATAGTTTACCAGTTTAACGACATCTAGTCCCGAAGCACAGGGGCAGGTGTTGAAGCCGGCGATGAGTAGCTCCGCCACGTCCGACACTACCGGCAGTAGCTCGTCTATTAGAGACGATACCGTCTGCTTCAGTATGTGGAACATTGACTGGAAGGACGAAGATAAATCAGGTTAAAAGTTTAATTTACTCAAATTAACCCTTTGAGTACAGTCATTATAGACAAAATTAACCCATTGAGTACCGTCATTATAGACACAATTAAAGAACAATAGGTTGCGGTCACCGGTGTCTTCGCGGTGTTTGACAGTTTAATGCTTGTTTTAGAAACTGATGAAGTATTTCATGACCACTTTTAATAAAAGACTGATTATGACCGGGAAGCCAAAACCAGTCCTTTATTTAGCTGGGAGGTTAAGAGAGGCGTTTTCCATTATTGTGTCCCTTAGCAGACGGTTCCCAAATCGCAGTTAGCACCAGCCAGCCACCCGCAAATGGGCGAAGGCAGTTTCTGGATGACTGGTTGTAGTTATAAGAAAACCTGAGTCCATTATCGTCTTAGCATTAGCAGATTATATTTATTTATTTATCAATAACTTAAAAAAATTAGAGACAGATGAAATAGTTAAAAATATTTGTTTAATTAATATAAATGTTTACCTCTACAAGAGCGGCATTACTGGCGTAGGGCGGCAGTGCGGGCGCCAGCACCCGGAAGAGGTCCACGGCGAGCGCCCCGCTCGGCGCCAGCGCCCCCAGCAGCGCCGCGCAGCACTCCGCCGCGCTAGCGCCGCCGCCCGGGGACTGCGCCTGTAATAATAGGGATGATGACAGGGTATGAAAATCTAAAATCCAATTTATCCGTCAGTTAGGCAATGAAAAAATATTAGAATGAGAAAATTAGTCATCTACCCTACTACCATAGCTTAACCCATGCGAAATACACTGCTTTGCAATAACGCATCGCCATTTTTTTTAAACGTTACCCCACACTAGGATATTCTCCTGTGTCATGAGTGCGTTTACAAACATACAAGTTTACATACAACTGACACCAAGACCCGAAACAACAATCTGTGCATCACACAAAAAGTTGCTCCGTGCGGAAATCGAACCCGCTACACGTTGTACGGCAGCCGGTTTCCCAAGTCACCGCGCCAACTATGCAGTCGTTTATAACAACACAGAAAATATATTTTGCTTCTGTTGAAATGAGAAGAAATTATGCACTTTTCATATAAATTGATGAGATTAGGGAGTCAACTTGATGAAAAAAAAAAGTCGAAACCTTTTGAGTGATTTTCAAGAGCTCCTGCTTGGGATTACGTGACGAATTTGAGGTAGGTAGAATGAAATACAATAAATAGCAGTATGTTGGTACCTGCGCGACGAGGTCCGCGTGCAGCGAGCGCGCGAGTGCGTGCAGTAGCGGCGCCGCGTCGGGCAGCTCCGCCGCCGCCAGCGCCGCGCCCGCCGCAGACACCAGCTGGCGCCGCACCCACGCGTCAGACTTACTGCCGCTGCCCTGGAACGACTGCGGTACTCACGTCGTTACTACACAACATACAGAAAACGTTGTCTTGCTCCAAAGAGAGACTAAGGCGATCAATGAAATAAGAAGTGATTTTGAAACTTATTACAAGATCTGGTAAAAATAAAATGAAACTTCAGAGTAGCCAAAAATCAAAATAACATAACATTACATAACATCACGCCTTTTATCCTCAAAGGGGTAGGCAGAGGTGCACATTATACCACTGTACAATGTAACACCCACTTTTCACTATTTATGTTATGAGTCCCATGTAATAGGGGGTGAGCCTATTGCCATATACCGGGCACAGTTCCAGACTCCGTGTTACTACTGAGAATTTTTAAAAAACCCAGTAATCATCATCAAAAATCAAAATAAATGTTGATAAATAATAGGATCACCTTCTACCGATAAATGTATTTCAATTTCGATCAGTAAGTAATACATTACCATAAACAAGTAATAGCTCCAGCTAAGAGCTCCTTTTAGCGCGGGCGGCAGAATCGTCATAGTGTGTAGGGTTGAATAGTTACCTGTGCAGCCTGTACGATGTCGGGCGCGAGCGCGGCGGCGGGCCCGCTGCAGTCGGCGGCCAGCTTGCGCAGCGCCAGCGCGGCCGCGGCCGGGCAGCGGGGCAGCGCCGCGCCCGCCGCGCGCACGCACTCGCGCCCCAGCGACGACACCGACGCCTCGCTGCCCGCGCCCGCCACCGACCCCACCCACGTCGCGTACCCGCCTGGACCACCACATTATAGACACTACTTACATACACAGTAAAACAAATATGTTTCACGTACGCGAGCTGTGCTTTGGCACTAATAAGCACACAGAAAACCAGAGCGAAACAATGTTCTGTTTTGCCTTAATTGGGTACTTTCCTTAATCAAAAATAAATTATATCGACGGTCCAATACAATAAAATATTGAAAAATAATCACACTTATATTAATTGATTTTATGATTTTATGACTGAGTAAAACAAGTGAAAGTGTGTTAAAAAGAAGACGCCAAAGAAAACCGTGACGTCGCAATACATAATCTCGTATAATATTCATAGAAAAATATCGTTCTTGACAGTTCGAAAAAGTATTGAATTTGACTAGTTGGTACTAAAGTACCCAATTGAATCAGCCTTGCGAATTTACCGAGACAGTCGAGTGCAGTGCTGAGCATGGGTTTGGCGGTGGCAGTATGCGCAGCGTGCAGCGCGTGCTGCAGTAGCTGCAGCAGGGCGGGCTTGACGCACTGCGCGGGCGCGGCGTCGGCCAGCGCCGCGAACACGTGCAGCGCGGCCTCGCGCGCCGCCTCGCTCGCCGCGCCCTCGTAGCTGCGCTGCACTATGCTCCAGCACCACTCGCCCAGCACGCCGTAGCAGTACATCTGCCAGACACAGGTATCGCGTGATAATCTATTCCTAAACCAGGCACTAATTTTTGCCAGTTCCTCTCAGTCAATAACTTGTATAGTGATTGGGAGAGTTGTATTAGAACGAATTATAAACATCAGCTGTGGCCGCAGTGGGGGGTTAATAAGCAGTAGCCCAAACATTTATTTTAACTGCCTCGTTGGCCGAGTGGTCGTAAGTGCGACTGCTGGGCAAGGGATCTCGGATTCGATACCCGGGTCGGGCAAAGTGTAATTAATTTTTTTTTAATTCTCAGTAGTAGCACGGAGCCTGCAATTGTGCCCGGTATATGGCAATAGGCTCAACCCCTTTTGCATGGGACACGTAACATAAATAGTGAAAAGTGGGTGTTACATTATACAGTGGCGTTAAGTGCCGTTATGTACACCTCTGCCTACCCCTTCGGGGATAAAGCATGATATGCGTATAGTTTTTTGTCATATCCTTACATTTGGAAACTTGTACAAGTTAACCCTATCAATTTCGCGCATATTCAGCATATCACAATTAATACTAACCACAGAATCAGCAGTGTCTTGTCGGTAGCATCGCAGTAGTTCGAGATCATCCTTGGAGAGGTCGGCGTCAGCGGGCGCGATTGACTTGGTGATTAACGTCTCTAGCAACCGCGAGAACACTTGTTTCCACACTTGGTGGATGTCATTCGTCCTATCCATCAGGTTTAATAGTTCATCCTGGATAAAAAATATAACATTTTACAAAATGTAAAAAATAAACACACTTGTATTCTGTGACATGTGTATATATACAGAATGACTTTTTAGTCATTTTAAACCCGAATATAATTGTGTAAGTGTTTTAACTTACACAATCATATTCATTAAAATTCAACACATCATAAGTATGTATATAAGTAAGCAATAAGTCTGTCCATGAATATTTCTAGTGTATCAACTATCACATAAAACAAAAAGTTACCTGTAGTGTGTACCAGAAGCCGAAGGTGAGGTTGGAGCGAGTCTCGTGTATGGGGTAGTGGCCGGGCGCGGCCTGCGCGGCCAGTATGAGTTCAATGACCTGCCTGGCGCCGCGCGTGGTGTCGGAGTCGTCCGCGCTCTCCGCCGCCGTCACCAGCGCGTGCGCGTGGCACTCGCCCACCGCTACGCAGCATGTTAACAGGGCTGATAACAGCTCCTAAGGGAAATATAGTTCGTTTTTTTAATTGATAAGACGACAAATGAACCTGATACGCAGCCACGGAAAGCCTAACAGGTTGCCGGGAATCCGGCTCGAAGAGCAAGACTCTGACACTCCCTTTCGCCTAACCCAAGGCGGGAAGAAGTCATTGCATGATTTTCGTCCTAAAAAAAGAAACCGAACGTTGCCGGCCTTATGGAAGGGGGGGAAGGTCTGAGGAGTGTTAAATGTTTTTATTCCATATTATGGTTTACAAGACTACTCGAAAGATCTATGCCAGGCACATAATTGATTGTACAAAATTAAATAACTTGTTACCTCATTGACAGAGTTGGGCACATTATCCCTGGCCATGAGTGGCGCGGTGAGTGCGGCGAGGTGCGCGAGTAGTTGCAGCGCGGAGTCTGGATAGCGCACTGAAGCCGACGTACTGGCCGCCGCGCGGACGCCAGACAGACACGCCTCGCACGCGTCCAGTGCTGAGTCGCTTACTACTGAGTTCCAGCTATAGTATGTCCCAAGATTACATATTGTCCCTGTTTATTTTGAATTATTAAGATTTAAGATCTATTGAAGTTTTTTAAAAGCATAAAAAACAGTTTAAGCTATTACTTTAAATGTCACAATCACAAACAACATATTATGTTGCTGCCACAAAGTAAGAGTTATTATTTAGGAATAATTATTTTGTACATACATTTGTATCAAGGATGATTTGGGTTTGCAACTAAGGACCTTTAAAAATTCTTTTACAACTAACTAATTTTTTCTTAAATATAATATAAGCATTGGTTACTTTGAAAATATATGGTCATCCGAGAAACTTCTTCTTATACCCATACCTGAACCCTATCCTTACTTGTTACTTTACAAATAGGTCAATGATTACCCTAGCATTTCATAGAATAAATACGTGTGTATACTAACGTGGACAGTAGCTGCACGACGGCAAGTAACGCGCGACAGAGCGGCATGCGGTCGGGCAGCGAGCCGCGCGGGTGCTCGGCCGCGTCCTCCCCGCCCAGCGTCAGCCAGCTACACGCGCACGTCGCCACCGTCACCCAGTTCTGCACCGTCTCCTCCGACGGAGCCTCCTTAGTGTACTCAGGACTAGAGAACAGACAAGTCTACATACAGAGTCTAAAGTGGCAAATCCTCCTCCACTCTATTACATGGGACTCCTGATATACTTGGCAAAAAAGTGGGCAGCATTTTGATGTATGCTTGTCTTGGGAATAACAGACAATTTTGTGATTATGTAATTATTATTATTCATACATTTTTGTCAATGATCCAATAATTTTATACCTATCCCATTATCTGCACTACAAAAGAGATGATTATGCAAAAAAAGATAATGCAAAACAGTCTTGTCATTTTTAATTATCTCAAAAGTTTTATTTATAGAGCACTGCTGTAAAACATAATAACAAAAACTTACTTATAGACAGCTTGTAGGCATCGCAGCATATCATCTAAAACCGCAGGGCAAGCTTGTTGCAATGCTATGCGGTTCTTGGTTCTCAGAGAGGATCCCATTGTCATACTATTGTACTGTTAACAATAGACAATTTAATTTAATAGAGTAATAAAACAGATTGCAATTATTATTATCTTTTGAGATCAGTCAGATCAGATCATTAGATCGAAATATCATTATTATTAAAGGCCAAGGTTCATTGTTGTTTTATAATTGTGATAATGATTATTTAATATTTATGTTTAAGTATAAATGGTTTACTCACTTCTTCAGGTATCACAGTAAGTACTTCTAATAAACGTGCAGTGTTCTCTGGAGTAGACAGAGGGCTTAATATCGCAGCCAGATCTACCGTTCCTTGTTGTAAGATAAATGCTGCTAACTGAAACCAATATAATATAATCTAACCATACATGTATTTGTATATTGTATATGTTACTGTAAAAGCTCGAACTGCAGTAAATCCTAAGATATTCCAGTAAAACCTAAGATCTACCAATTCCTAATGGTAAATTTCCAAAAAGATTTGCGATTCAAACTTTTACCACCATTCCGATGGTAAATCTTAGGATTTACATCAATAGCATGGTAAATGTTGAAAAACAAAACATGTTATAACGTGCTCAGCGCATCGACTTGTAGCTTGCCGTAGTAGTAGTCGCAAGTGCGACTGCCGGGCAAGATGTCTCGGGATCGACTCCCGGGTTGGGCAAAGTAATACTGTTTTTTTAATTTCAGTAATAGCACGAAGTCTAGAATTGTGCCCAGTATATGGCAATAGACTCACCCCCTATTGCATGGGACTCATAACATAAATAGTGAAAAGTGGGTGTTACATTGTACAGTGGCATAATGTACACCTCTGCCAACCCCATCGGGGATAAAAGGCGTGATGTTATGTATGTTCAAAATAATTTAAATAAGTTTATATTAGTTTCTACTTGTTACTATCATTATGATGTCTTTATAATACTATGTACCTGTTTTGTCTAATAGTTCAAAGTAATTACCTAATTAAGAATTACTCATTGTTTTATTCCTAAAACCAACATCTACCAGCTGACAGTGGTAAAACCTAGCATATACTGAGTTCGAATGGTAAAAGCTCGAAAAAATCGTCGTATCTTCAGAAATACTTACATTTACCAACTCATGTCGGTAAATCCTAAGACTTACACTTAAATCTTAAGATTTACCGTAGTTCGAGCTTTTACAGTAACATATATATATCTGTATATAGATCATATACAGATACATGTACATGGCATATATTTTTCATAGGTCACTAAGGTTGCAAGTTGTTTAAATTGACCACACTTGAATGAAACACACATGCAAAGACATTTTGTAAATCGTCAGTCATCAGTTTACTATTTCATGAAGTTCATGCAGAGATAGTCACGGGCACCTGAATGTGGTCAATATTTCAGTTACCTTTCAATGTAAAATAAAACCTGTTTCATGTTATATTGTTACTTACACTGATACATAATCTATTGGTTACAATCTTAGGTCCTTTTGAATAAGTAAACACAGCCTCAAGTAGTTTGTTTTTTAACTCTTCGTAGCTCTCTGGTGGCACCTCGTTCCAGCAACGAAGAATCTTTGTGTGCAGAGTTGTTGCTGCATAGAATTGAATTTCGGTTCCCTAAAAAAAAGTGTACCGTTAAGGTTTATACTTAGTAAAAATATAATTTCTACTTCCAGTTTAGAATGTATCAGAGGACTACAACTACAGATACAATATACGTTAAAATCATTTCTACTGTTTATTAAGGATATTTTGATAGGTACCAATGAGAATATAGGTTGTAGAAAGTACTAAACTGCTTATCAGAAGAGAAATTAAATCTTTTTACCTTGCTTGGCTGAAGAAACTCCCAGACAAAATTCCAAGCCTCTGGCACCCGCTGTGCGGCCGTGAGCCAGGCATGAGCCTTAGCTCTTTCACTTTGCTCTCCATTATAGAATACAGAGACAGCATATTCTAAATTTTGTGGTGAATACTCCATTTTCTAGCTGTTGTGAAGTTTAGCTAAGCATCCAATAAAGTTATACCATATGTTATATACTTCTTACCGCACCCTTTGTTTACAGAATCTGTACCGAGGAAACATTATCACATTTGGCGCGCCTAGTCACAAGTAAATACAATATTTTTTAATACTCGAGACCAATATTTTCGTATTCCTACCACTAATCAATGGCTGAAGTGACAGCTGTGACAGCAGCTTGACAGGTCAGCTGTAGAAATTGAAGCAAAGTTTCGTTTCAAGCAGTATTTGTATACCCCGATGTCGCTAAAAAGACAATCTTCGTGATATCCAGATCTATCCAAAGATGGTGTAATAAAGGGATGAAAACGTCAAAAAGTACTATTTTGTTTAAAAACATTTGCGTGTGCAAAATTGTATAGAATACTTTGTCCCAAGGACTAATATTCCCCCTTATTGTTCTTGACTACTGTGAAGCACTACCAAAGAGTACCCCTATACTATACTGTTTGAGAGTAACTACCACGGTGCTGCCACGCCAGTTTCTATAATAGAAACTTTATTCACAAAACTATCCACAGCAGAATCAATAAGCAATAAATCAATTTATTCATTTTGTCGTACATTGATTGGTAGTTCAGTTCAATTGTTCGGTCCAGTTCGTTCATTCATTCAAAACTCGAGTTTGTTGTGGTGCGGCTAGCGAGTGCTTATTTTAAATATTTTCTCTTTAATTATTTCCAAAAACACCCGATAAACACAATGAAGATCGAGGAAGTGAAAAGTACTGCTAAAACCCAAAGAATATCAGCCCACAGTCATATTAAAGGATTAGGTTTGGATGAAAATGGAGTTCCAATTCAAATGGCAGCCGGTCTCGTGGGCCAGGAATCTGCAAGAGAGGTAAATTCTTAATTTTATCAGTTATAAGACAGTAATATTAATAAACATACGCAATTATTGCCAGTAAGTTCCAAGAATCTAGATGTTTCTGCACTATCGATTAAACTTTGAGGTTAAGTTTTTTGGTTACCATGGAGTTGTAACTTCATCTGATAACCAGGCTTTTAGTATAATTTGGAGCATTAAATACTATCTAAGTTCTGATAATGTTGAACTGCACAAATGCTACGAAAACACATATTAAAGATGTGATACAACGAGAGTATTTAGCATCTATAATATTAAAAGAGAAAAATCATTGGCCAATGGAGGTCTTGTGGCTGATAGGAGAATGAAAAGAGAGAATGGCATCTTAAATTTATATTCCCATTTACATTGTAGGCTGCAGGAATAGTGGTTGATATGATAAGGAGCAAGAAGATGGCTGGCCGAGCCTTGCTCCTAGCTGGGCCACCTGGCACGGGTAAAACTGCCATTGCTTTAGCTATTGCCCAAGAACTGGGTACCAAAGTGAGTATTGAAATTGATGACCCTATTGTTTTCAGATGAAGATTGAATTTTTTTTGTACTTATTATGACACCTTTTATTTACTGAAATAGTATACTGAGGTACAGATATAGTGAAATGTTATTTTAATAATGTTGACTGCACGCATGGAGCGGTGGTTGGCAACTGACTGCCACACAACGTGTCGCGGGAATCGATTCCCGCAAGGAACAACTCTTTGTGTGATCCACAGATTGTTTGTCCACGTCTGGGTGTCATGATATACATGAACTTGTATGTTTGCAAACACGCCCGAGACAGGAGAAAATCTTAGTGTGGTCTTTTTGTAATAAATGCAAGATTTAGTCATACACTGGATTCACTTTCAAACTGAAAATTAATTTGACCTTTTGCCTGACTTTAGAAATCTTGTATCCGACATAGATAACACAAGAAGTTCACACCCAAGAAGTAATAACTAACTCCAGTATTATACTATATTTGATAACCATCTGAATTACTAATCAATACTAATAATATAAAACTTATGAGTATTGCTGCAATGATCTCTAGAATAGCTGGTTTGATTAAAAAAAATGAATAGTCTATTTAACTGAGGTCATGTCAATTAAATATTTTAATTCCACAGGTGCCATTCTGCCCTATGGTTGGCAGTGAGGTATACAGTACTGAAATTAAGAAAACGGAGGTGCTAATGGAGAACTTCCGACGTGCCATAGGACTACGAATTCGTGAGACCAAAGAGGTTTATGAAGGAGAGGTCACTGAACTTACTCCAGTGGAAACTGAAAATCCTGCTGGAGGTATTTGTTTCATTAACATTGTTTGGTTACATTTCCAAATAAGAATAAACTTGATTAATAATTATGAAGAAGCATTTTTAGAAGTCATCAGTTCGTATAAAGTAAGCAAATTGTTCCAGGTTATGGCAAAACTGTATCTCATGTCATCATTGGGCTGAAGACAGCTAAAGGTACGAAACAGTTGAAGTTGGACCCTACCATTTATGAATCTCTACAGAAAGAGAAAGTAGAAGTCGGTGATGTCATCTACATTGAAGCTAACTCTGGAGCTGTGAAGAGGCAGGGAAGGAGTGATACCTTTGCCACTGAGTTTGATCTTGAGGTAAATACAAAAATCATTCTTTATTTTTGAATATACTTAGAATAGGGTAGATGCCTAATTCTTTGTCTGGTAGATTGTTTAAAAACATTAGACACGTATTTTTTATTTTCTCACGGAAATGAATAGTTTCGAGGATATATTGATTTGAAATATTGCATGACGTCACTTTTGAGTACGATTCATACTCTAAAATGTCGTAGCTACCTCCCACTCCTAAACATTGATTCGTTTTATCTGAGTATTGTTTTCTTATACGACAAAATAAAAAAAATACGTGTCTAATATTTTTTCTTTACCTAACTGAGGGACTAATTAGATTTTTAATTTTCATACCCTGTCATCATTCCAATTTAGTTGAAAATCCTATGACTCTAACAATTATGATTTATGAAACTGAATATTGTTCTAGGCTGAAGAATATGTTCCGCTGCCAAAAGGTGATGTTCACAAGAAGAAGGAAGTTGTCCAGGATGTAACTCTGCATGACTTGGATTGTGCCAATGCTAAGCCACAGGGGGGTCAAGATATCATGTCCATGATGGGCCAACTAATGAAACCAAAGAAGACTGAGATTACAGGTACAGATAATAAAATTTATTATAATATTAATTTAACATCTTTTATACATTCATTACATGGAAGACAAACTGTAGTCTTATTATTTTGACAGTAAGGTCTATTCCTTTGATGAAAAAATGTCCAAGTAAGTAAGCCATCAGCCGCCCAATCATATAGAAATGATTTATTAGATTTAGATGATACTAATAAGTTTGATGTTACAGATAAGCTGAGGAAAGAAATCAATAAAGTAGTAAACAAATACATAGACCAAGGTATAGCTGAATTGGTGCCAGGAGTTCTGTTCATTGATGAGGTAACAATCTCTTCTTGCTTGTACTTCTTATATTTGCGTATGTTATTTGTTCGTACACAAAGCACCGCTAATTAGTTTGCAGCGCTACACATCGACACTACTGTCATTTACACAGTGTACATGTGTGGGTAATTTCATATTACTGTGTATAAAAATATTCGTCCACCACGTTCACATTGGTATTTTCATTCTTGTGTCGGTATACGTATTTTTATAATTTAATGCATAGGTAAGGTTAAAACTATTTACAATCATTGATATGACCCGACATTTTCACTGGCATTATCGTAGTGCTCGTGGTCGATTGGTAAATGAGCACGCTTTTATCGTCTTTCAAGGATCAATGATGTGGGTTCTATTCCAGCTAAAAGTTTATTTTATATTACCTTGTTATTTTTCTTAACTATTTTTTTTAATTTTTTGTCATAAAATATAAATATCAGGCTATAAAAGAAGCAAATGAGTCGGTAAATAAAACAATACTATTTTTTATTACAATTAATTTATTTATTATACAAATATGTTGTTTTATATTCAATATTTATATTTAATAATTAATTATATACCACATGTTAAGTTTAAAGTTCTTTAAATCACTATTTTATTTATTTAATTAATTTTAATTACATTAAAAATATTATAGGTATAAATAAATCTAAAGTATTTACTATTAAAATTAACATAAGATTTAGAACAATAGGATAGGAAAAAAAAGAAAAGATTTAATTGTTTCTAACTTCAATTTCAAATTTCAATTTCAAATATTTGATAAATTAATACTAAAACAACATGTGAATGCTGGAATCGATCCGGCGGCACTTTACTTAACAATTGGAGGCGATAACCATTGCGCCAAGCGCGCTGTAGATGAGATTATCGAAATATTGTATATCATTCAGTAACATAAAATTACAATGAGAAAGCACTATAGTTATATGGGTATTGTATAGCTCGATCGTTCATTATTTTTGATTTCGATTTATTCAAAGTTTGTTATGAGTAATTTTATCTTTACCCTCGTTTTTATTTAAACTTATTGACTAAATTATTACGTATACCGACACAAAAATGATATTTAAATACCAAGATGTGTGTGATAGACGAATGTTTCTATACATATCTATTGATATGAAATTACCCACACATGTATATTGTGTAAATGATAGTTGTGTCGATGTGTAGCACCACGAACTAATTAGCGGTGCTTTGTGTACATTTGTTCCTATAAGTAAACGGCATTTTTTTTAAATCATCAACTTTCAGGTACACATGCTAGATATTGAAACATTCACATACCTGCACCGGGCCTTGGAGTCGGCTATTGCACCTATTGTTATTTTCGCTACCAACAGAGGCAAATGCCAAATAAGGTAAATCATATTTTCCACTGTACCTATAGTTTAATAACGGTAGATGATATTTATAATTGTATCTTTTTCTTCCAGAGGCACTGAAGACATCATTTCTCCACACGGAATCCCATTAGATCTTTTGGACAGGCTTTTGATTATTCGCACTTTGCCATACAACAAAGCTGAGCTTTTGCAGGTATATAACTACATACATACTTATTATAAACAGTTTACATGTTTACTAAGTATTTGTAAACATGTTGTACTTATTTTTAATAATGCTTGTTTTTAGATATTGAAACTTCGAGCGGCGACAGAAGGTATTGCCATTGATGACGAAGCCCTCACCGCCCTTGCAGAAGTTGGAGCTAACAGTACCCTCAGGTAATACTTCTAAAAGTATTGTGTAAGCATACTGGACGTCACTGAGAAATTGTTAGAGCTGATCTCTTAGTTTTGTCTAACATTTGGGTTTACAACACTTGCTAGGTACGCAGTGCAGCTGCTGACGCCGGCGTGGCTGGCGGCGCGCGCGGACGGCGCGGCGCGCATCTCGCCGGCGCACATCACGTCGGTGCACACGCTGTTCCTGGACGCCAAGTCCTCCGCACGCATCCTCACACAGCACTCCGACAAGTACATGAAGTAAACCCAAGCACTCTACGTATTTCTAACTGTTGAACAATCCAACCTTAAGCCTATATTCATTGATTGGATTGATTCTCACAACTGTCGATATCTCGTATTACCCATTATCGTATGTATACATTCAAGTATGTAGTTTTACTATAATAAATAGGTGTCATTCAACACCATAGTATTGAAATCTTGTACTGATATGTATTTTCAGTAAGACATTTAAAAAGTGTTTCCATTATATTTAGTTTGACCCTATTCATGTGATATTTTCTATTTGAAAGCACCCTATAAGACAATTTAATCAACTTCTATAAACAATGTGTCTGGTAGTTGTATGCATTAGAGGGATGTCTATTTTTGTTCTGACTTAGGATTTGCACTTTAGTTTGATGGTGTTCATTCCACCGAATGTTACATATTATTGGTGTTCAAGAAAGAAAGCGGAATTGTATAATAAATAAGTTTTTATTTTATAAAATGTTTCTTATTCTATGTTAGACCTATATTTATTTACACAACAATAATTTCAGGCTTTTGCAATTCATATAACAACAGTAAAACAACTCTTTATCGAAAACATTCAATGTAACTAATATGTACGAACGTTGTTACTCTAACAAAATGTATGTACAAAATAATTATCTTGCATTTATTTACAACTTTAAATAGTTCCTCACAGTCTTAATGTCCACTCACGTTTGTCTAGAGTTGGATTGAATTTCGTCGCCTGGTTTGACGTACCCGACAGGAATGTACCTGGCTTCATTTTTAGCTGGTGCCGTAGTACTGGGTGCAAGGGTAGTGGTCGGCGGGGTGAACGTCGGGAGGTCCACGTGTAGGTCTGTGGGCGAGCCCGTGTGTCGGTACAGCGCCTCGAACTGTAACTCCTCTGGGTACGAGTGCGATCGTATCTTTCGCTCGTCTCTCGCATTACTCGGGTACACAATGACTATCTTTTCGCCTTCACTTCTCAGCGCTACGGGTGGTAGCGCTGTGCTTGTTGATACGGCTGGTCCCGGCACTATTTTCAGCATCTCGGTGGGCGACGCTCGAATTTTGTGAGTTGTAGTTGTAGTTGGTGGTGTTGTTGTACTAGTAGTGGTAGTAGTCGTGGTGGTCACTGGTATTTCTGGGTCTTCTGGAGACTCCATATCGCGCTTCGCTCCTGGCGGTCCAACTGTCCGCAACGTTTCGATTTTCATTTCTAAAGTAGGTGTCGGTACGGGTATGGAACTCGTGACATTAATTTCCTCGGTGGGAATAAACCTTGCAGTTGGTTTCGGCACCTCTCGGGAGCCGAATATTGGCAAGCGCGGTGCATAGGCTGACACTAGAGGTAGTAAGGTATCTCTGGCATATCGTTCGGCTCTCGAAATGAACGATGCCAGTCGGGAAGGCAGGAATTGAACAACAAATCCCGGTTCCTCTTTCTCGGCTCTCTCACCCCACGTTACGGTATCGTAAGTGGGTGTAGTTGACATGTCGTAGTTCTTAGCTTTTCGTATTGGTGAAATAGTTGTGGTCCTCGGTGGTCGCGTCGCTCTCAGTAATGGTTCCGATATCTCTTGTTCGTCGGGTGAGTCGGCTCGCTGGCGAGGCGTTTTTCGTAGTCGTGGTCGGAGCACTGGCTCGGCGATTTCGATAGCTCCACTGGGAGCAGTTTTGGTGTTGGTCATTCCGAAGGCTCGTCCTGTGTTTTCTCCTCCCGTCCACTCATACGTGTCCACTAAGGTGAATGGTCGCTGTGGAGAGTCTTCGGGGAGTTCGTTGTCAACGGGGTCAATGGTGTTCCCTTCTTCTTTTGTTGTGTTTTGTTTGTTTATGTAGTGAAGATTACTTGTTGCGTTCAATAGCTCATTCTCCTGCGGGGAAAAAATACATTAGTAAGCTATCGTATTTACTGATCGGTCCTTTTTCATCAAGTTAGTAATAATAACAATACCTCTTGTATTTCACAATCCCCAGGGTACAGCGGCATTTCGATTGATTCTTCGGATAATAACTGAATTCCCTTTTTGCAGAACGATGACCTGAAACATACGTACGTAAACGTACCTATTATAAAACATGTTTTCTTGTATTCCTGTATACTTAATCTTCTGTAACTGCACATTTATCTTGTACAAAAGTTTCAACAATTGCTTACGTCTTGGAGAAGCTGTCAGTGATGAGCAATTTATGTATATGTATTGACTTTGCACTAGCGCTGAGCCAGCCGGAGTAGCCAGCATAATGTAGGGAGGCGCGCAGTGGCACGCCCAGCGCGGGGTGCGGGACCAACACTCGCGTGAACCTCGCACTGCCGTTCACTACGTCTTCTCGTCTGTGAAATAAGTAGATAAATAGATAATGAATATTTCTAGTGTTATTTTATGTAATATGACCAATCATCTGTTGAAGAGACGTGCTAAAACCTTGTTTGTTCTATTGTTTTGTTATTATATCATTATGCTCTTCCATATTTAGGGAAAGGTTATAGAACTCAATTCATAAATACTATTAAATGTATTGATCATACTTGGTCATCGGGAAGGACTCGTTGAGTCCGGAGTCTCCGTGCAACGTCAGCGTCACCCGGCCGAAGTTTGCCTTCTCTCCCGCTGCGCTACTGGCCCACACCGACACGTGGTATTGATGTGCTGGAAAATATTATAATAATCTAAAAAACTAATCTAATCATATTAAACAAACGACGGTGTACAAGCTTCCTTGTCCCTGTTCAATGAATTTCTATGTAGATATGTATATTTAGATTGTTTAAATAGGGAAATAGACTTCACACTTGAACCTCCACTATGAAGTTCAATGTAAATAATACAAAATTAAAGTTATACCACAAAAAGGTTCTTCCTCCCTGGTGAGTAAGTAGAGTTGACCGCGGCCCAAGGACCGGTCAGCGTAGTACCCCATGTTGCCACAGCGGCGCTGTCCGTCGCAGGGGAAACACCGACCCTGATATTACAAAGGAAGGTTAAGAATGTTAAGGTCAACAAGTTATTAAATATGCATGCAATTGCAAAACTAGTTGTCCGCCAGCAATGAGTAATTTGTACTACATTTTTTCAAGTGGATTCTTCAAAAAAGGAATAGGTTGATTCTGCGTTGCGAAGTTTGTGTTCTTTTTTGGGATACATTTATCCTTTATCTTTTCTTTAAATAAAATTGCGTTCATTTTTGACGAATGCGACATCGCGCCCACGAGTTCAGTTCATGTTGAACGCGGACGCACCATAATGTGAATGAGATTTTAAAATAAATCTGACTGCTTGTCAAGACAATTAGTATTCTATGGCAATCTTTGTTATGATTCACCTCCCAGCGCAGCCTTGAGGTCTACCGCAGGAAATAAACTTATGGGTTCAAAAGAACAGTCTTAATCTTTATTTTCTACACAACGTAACATAAAATTTTCTATCGAATTACCTTTCAACCGCAAATCAGTTCCTACTATGTCTTTGTGGTAGTAAAATCAGACTTCATATGTCAGTAACTTGTCTAATAACTAAAAGTGTCCAACACACCTGTATTATGCAATTGAGTAATTGCATTAGACTTACTTCTAGGAAGGTGTCGTAATCCGCGCAAGGGAAAGCAGGGAAGTGGCACTTTGGTGAGACTGAGTCGGTGAAGAACTTGTAGGCCCGCCTGTGGTTGCAGAGGGAACGACCTTCTGGGGACGCTGCAGCCCACGGTAGCACAAAGTCTGATACTGCTCCGACGAACCTGAGGGAATAAGTTTTTAACAGTAATGTAGTGTAATGTCTTAAAAATTGTACGATTTTACGGTAAAATCAACATCGAATCGACTTTAATACGAAGTGATAAAGTTGAAAATCTTTTAAAAAGCTTTGCAGATTGGAATAAGTTGTTACTGTACCCATCTATTTAATAAGCAATAACTTTTTGGTACATCGCGCGAGTACCCTTCATACATCAGTGATCATTTGATGGATCACTATAAAATGTACACACATTTCATAAATCATTGAATAATTAATCATTATTTTTTGAATACTAATCCATTAAAAACTTAGATTATTAGATATCTCACATCGATGTTGGAAGACAACCTACTTACCAATATTATTTATGGTTTAGATATAATCAACGTGTCTTCTTCTAGAATTTATGTATATAGATAATCTAGCTACATTTTAGCTATTACTCGGCACGAATCATGGCAAGATTTTGTCGTGGTGGGGGTAAGTTTGAGCATTGTGTATTTTCTCGTTATTGCCATCAATTAGTTTTATTTATGTCTACTGGCAACTTAGTTAACGTAAGAATAAAGAAAGGAATTGTGTTGAAAAGTTAGAAATAATGAAGCACTTACAAATTAGAACATCCATGTTGGACTCTTCCACCGTTCGGGTAAAAATCGACATGGCCTAGTGGTTGTGCAGCCCCAAGTCCGCCCAAAATGAGAGTCTCGCCGTTAGAATGAATGACGTCGACAAATTTGGCGTCACTCCGGTCCAACCGAGCCCTTGGATCTTGGAACTCGAAGAGAGGTCCTGCTGGATCTAGTCCTGGAATATGTAAACATTTTCTGTTTATGGTCGGTATGGTACAAAATTGATCATAAAATATTATTAGTTAGATAGAAATATCGTTAGATTTGATTAACTCATCATTGTCGAAGTTTTTTTGCCGTATCTAATTTTATAAATGTTATCAACAGTCAACAGCTTCATCTTAGTAAATCATTGTGGTGTCTAGTAATAATTTATTTGACAAACCTGTAATACGACTAATATTCCGTAACTCTGACCCCGCAAAACCAGCGACATGGGCGCCTAAACTAAAACCGATGAGATGGACGTCTTCAAACCGCAAATCTATGTGTTTGGCAAAACCTGGAAACCAAAGCAAAATATGATTTATTATCATTCAGGTAGGGTAAACTTTAAATGGCTTAAATTAATTTCGTTCTTAGGGTTGGTTTTACCTTGCAGCAGCATAGCTAGCTGCTTTCCTACTAGTCTTGTGTTCGCTGCTGCGCGTAGATAA